AGAAAGAGACAGCAGAGAGACACACACAAGGAGAAAGAGAAAGAGAGAGAGACAAAGCGAGACAGAGAGAGAGAGAGCTTTCAGAAGTCGTAGTTAAAGGTTTGAACTCTCAAGATGTATCGAGTGGACGTCATCATGAGTCACCAGCTGCTCATTCAATTCTATTCTATTTCAATGTATTTGTGTTTAGCCCTAAATAACAGCACACTTCCTGTACTTGTACTCTGCACTCGGGTCTCCCATCACAGCACTGACCAGGCCCCACACTACTTAGTTCTGTGATTGTGGGGCTGAATGTCTCGCCCTCATTGCAGTGTGTTGCCAACCAGCAGTGGGAAACTCTACACCAGTGTTTTTCAACCAGTGGGCCGGGGAACATTAGTGTGCCTTGAGATGTTATTCAGTGTGCCTTGGGAAATGATCCAATATCACCTACTGTATTTGGTCAAAAGTTTCAGCTGGTGGTGTCCCATAAGATAGTTTTGAATGAGAAAAGTGTGGCATGGCGCAAAAAGGTTGGGGACCACTGCTCTCCACTCCCCTTATACCATGACATTTACACAGTCTTTCACACAGACTGTACCTCACAACCTCCTTCTCCATAACCGCGGTTATTTGTTCAAGTCATTTTCTCACCGCCGACTTTTAAAGCATTCTTAAGCACCTGCTAATTCTTTTATCGCCAACACCACGGTTCATTTAGCCGCCTGAGTACCATGAACATAACTTATGACTCCGGCTTGTGCTCCGGGTCTGTGTCCTGAATCCAAATGGCCTCGTCTCGGATAATAACTCTTTATGGTTTTTACCACAGACGTGCCCACTCCTGCTTCTCTATACTCTTATTATGTCTGCTTTAAGAGGCCTTCAGACTGCTGCCATTGGATATCAGAGTAAAACTGTAAGAGTAAAGTAAAACTGGGAGATTTATATATATATATGGATAAAACGTCCACAGAAAATAACGTTGCTGTTTTTGCTCCCATAATGCTTAAGAGAGATTCTGTACTTATTTATTTTCTTTTGCTAGAGTTAGAGATGTATTGTTCGTTTATCTTGTGCTGTGTGCCCCTCATTCCTTCTGTTCTGTATCTGGCGATGCAACACTGGAATTTCCCCACTCTAGGACGAATAAAGGAGGTCTTATTCTTAAGCTTACATTTGTATTGGTTGAAAAGGGGTTGGATTTAGAAGCAAAAAACTCCACTCAGAGGCTGCTCTTGGTGCTGTTGCTTGTTATTACTATTGTTAGATTTTTAGATTAAGATTTTTTTTTTTTTTTTTGTATGGGTGGATGTGTTTTTGCTGCAATTGGACACCGGAAATTTCTTCTATACGGAGATGAATACAGTATCAAAACTAACTTACACGTTTTGACAAATGGCAAGAAAGCTCTGTTTAGTGTTTTTGCAGCTAGACATTTGTTAAACAAGGCAATAAAAGAGACAATATTCGAGTCAAGGTATTTGTGCGTTTCCCTAATTCAAAGCAGTAGTTATCTCCGAGGCCTTTACAAATATATTATACCGTTTTAAAGTCCCTCTGTGCATGGCAGGTTGATGATTGGTTTTCCACAAATAGGACAGAGAGGAGAAATTTTAGGGGTAAATTGAAAAATCATGAAGGGAAAATATTGAAAAATAGTGTTGCAAGGTTCATGAGAGAATTGTGAGGAAACAGTGCCATCTAGCGGCCACAAAAGGAAGAGACAATGTAACGTTATCTATATGCTGTGTGGAAGAAGACAGTCTGTGGATGTGATACATAATTGAAAGCATTCTGATCCTGAAAAGAAAATATTTTCAGTTACAGCTTTTGTCGATGCAGGAGGGTCTAAGGACAGTGGTGAGGATCCAGGACACTCCACATTCATGCATTTATGGACTTTATGGACCTAGATCTCCGTCCCGTATGGACCAATGTCTCTATGTGTTTTTTATCATTGTTTGATTCTCTGCTCTGTTGTTGGTGAATCGACAGCTTTGTAAAGTCCTCCGAGATAACTGCTGTTGTGATTTAGATCTATACAAAAACACATTGAATTGGACAGAGGTGTAAAGAATAGACGTAACTGCTAATTTTAGAACTTTTTCTTCTTAACGTGTCCCTTTGTAAAGCATCTTTGAGATATATGTTTGAAAAATATCTTACATAAGTACAATGTATTACTATCATTATTTATGTGTTTGTTTGAACGGTATTATTTCTGCACAAAAGGAGTGGTCTGAAGCAACAAAACTCATGAGCACCGCCCAAAAAGTCAATTACAATCAACTTTTCACATCACAATAAAAATAGTGCAGAACACACAAAGACACGCAATTATCAGTAGAGATTATAGTGACACACAAATAACACAACAGAGTGGATTGAATAGACAATATTTATTTCTAACTTCTTAAGCGTAACATAGAATTCGAGGACAAATGAATGTTTAAGAGAAAGCGAGCACAATAGTTTGCAGAATATATAGAATGTCACCATAGAGAGAATACTGCACTCTGGCTTAATATCTGTTACAATAAAGAATATGTCTGTAAAATCAAATACTTATAATATCTATGCATTAACCATAAATAGTATATATTACCATTCATACATCCCATTAGTTAGAGTTTGTTTTTGGCAAATACAAGTGCTGAACACACCGCGACACAGGCCGACATGGAGCTTCAGAAGACCAGACAGAAGGGCCGTGGTTCTCCAAGAGACACAGGAGGAAAAGGCATCACTGCTACCAGAGGCCAAGCGTCAGAAAGAGAGGACATAAGTCATACAGAGCAAAGCAGAGCAGAAAGCAGCGTTCCCATAGACATGCGGAGGGACTACATACAGATATAAGAGGCTAGGATCCAAGCAGCAACAGGCTCAAGCAGAGAAGAAGAGAGAGAAAGAGCTGGTCAAGCGCAGAGAGGAGAAATGCAAGGCAAGGTCAGCATGCTCAACACAGAGAGATACACAAGCAAGGACACAGGTCACATGTAAAGGCTAAAGCGACAGAGCACTATTCTACAGGCCGGCTATACTGTACATACCACACTAATGCTAATTACAAAGCTACACGCACTGGTATACGGATATAGAATATATAGAAATAGATAGGACAGGATTTCAAACAAGCTGGAAAGGCAAGGCAGTGCATGCACGTGCAAAGGAAGCAGCAGTCTAGCAGCAGCAAGAGGAACAAAATGTCCCAGAGCACCACGTTCTGCTGGACAGCTTCTCATGCGGCCTGTGGCAGTGTGTGACATCACAACAATAAGACTGGTCAGTTCAACTGCTGACTCTGCTTTGGGATGTAAGACGTTACATAGTTCTTTAATCAGCAAAAATAAGCCTCTCTTTTGAAACAGACTCTTGCTTTGACACATTCAGACCAACAAGCTTTAGTTACATATTTAAACAGCCACTTAGAAACAACCATGGAACATTGCACATTATTGGGTCTTGTGTATACTTTAAAGTGCACGGCCTCCAGTGGGAGGACAACGAGACAATACTGTTACTAAGGCAACAAACAAGAGATATACAGACACACTAAGGAACACATCGGCACACACCGTCAAGTATCACTTGTGCACAAAACACAGCTTCAGAGTCCAAATGGCTTTGCATAATGGTCAAAAAGCCACTCTGCACCTGCCTCTCTGACAGTGAGAGGCAGAGGCTGCCATCTCCTTTAAAGCCAGTCCCTGAAACAGATTTCTTTGAAAAAGCTGGAGTCACAAACCAGTATCTGACACACACAGACACACACACACAGAAAAACATAACAATAGCTGTGCTGAGATAGAGAAAATATGGTTAGCTCACAAATAGTCTCTGGTGCATGTCTTATATACACGTGTATACACAAAGATATGTACGTAGGACATCTTGAAAGTCTATTTACACTATGATTGTACACTGAGCGACCATGAAGAGCAAATTGTGCTTGTCTAACTTCTAATAAAATGCTACAGAACCTCAGCCCAGAGCAGGGTTCAGCTGTGGCCTCCACACGAGGCTCTCCACTCTGATGATTATCCCAGAACACGTCTTTTTGGAATCGTTTTGCACTTTTACAGATCCAAATATTGCTTGTGAATGAACAAAGAAAGCATCTTAGTTGCAACGCTGAGGGAGACACCAGTCCCTGATGATTTAGTGCAAGTCAGCCTTACATTAGCTGCTAACTTCTTTTCTTCTCAACTATTGTCAACTTGCATCGCCCTGACTTTTACTAAGTGCTTCTGAACATGTTTAAGTAGTTTATTACAAGTTACAATCCTTATTAAGTGACCAGTCTTTGGTCGCCCTGTTCAAGTTCTGCCTCAATGGAATTGGAAAAAGTAATAAGGAACTTTGTCTCCAATGGCAGCGTTGTTTCTATATCGACCCTCATATGACACCAAAGCACCTACACAGCGGAGTATATTGCTGGATCACACATGGTCCCACATTTACAGTAGCCGGTGGCGTACAAAGTGACAGTCCTTTTACATGTAGTTTATACCAACACTACTGAACGTCATGCATAAAAACCAGAGACTTATCGGGGGTTGTTGCGGTCCTGGCAGAGAATTGTGCGGCAGTTACTCAAGCTGAGGTAAGGTGAAGTGCTTTTTTTCCATTTTACAAGTCTCAAATGTCAAGTTTACAAGAGAACACGAGCACGGTTGGCACTGGACCAACGGCAGAAAACGATAGTAATGATTCCAAAAATAATTCTTTCTATTGCACAAGCGTTTTTCAGATCACAAAAGATTACGTAGAGGGACGTCACTTACACGACTCGCGAGTATATGATGCGACTACAGGGAAAGAAGACAGAAGCAGATACAGACTATATTCTTATAAGTATTTCATGTACGTCTTTTTCAGTATAATCTTAAATATATATCAATGGGGAGGGGGAGAGAGTAAGGGGAGGTTTTACCAGTACATTCACCACACACACATTGCTTCCGTCGAAACTGGGAGGTGAGAGAGAGAGGGAGAGAGGGAGGGAGGGGGAGGTCTTATAGGTCCTGCCCCAGTCGCTCAATTTCTTCAATCAGAAAATCGATGTCCTCGAAGGTGGCGGCGGGATTGGAGATGACCATGCGGAAAAAGTTGACCTTGTCGCCCTGGGGCTGGTAGCTGACCATGGTGGTGCCGTACTCCATCATGCGAGCCTTTATCACCGGGGCCACCTGCGAAACAGCCAGGGTCAGTAGGGGTCTCTAAGGGTCTCTAAGGGTCTGTAAGGGTCTGTAAGTGTATGTTTGTGTGTGTATGTGAGTAAATATTTCTCTCATTCTAACGATTTTAAGCAAACAATATGAACCTACGAACACAGAAACACAACAATAATAATAGTAACACAAACACACATGAGGTTGAAATGAAAGAATCTTCAGCTGAAAGCTTTTCTCCTACGCCCAGAATAGCGTCTGTTTTCCCAGTGCTCCATCTTGTTCTCGCACCAAATGCTTGTAGAGATAAGCAGAGAGCTGTCAGAGTGTGATGCGGCTGCAGTGACGGCTGGATGTGACAGGGCGGCTGCGGCTGCTGCCTCCTCTGGGGTTATCTCTCTCACACCAGAGACTCTTTGTGGCACGTTCAATTACAACCTCCAGCCACTTATAGTTTCACAACACTCCACATGACCACATCGGACTCCAGACACGGAAATATCACATCGTGTTATCATTTTGGACTCAACTTTTGTAACAGCGCTTTTTAAACTTGCAGTCCTATGATCCAAAAAACTAATTGTAAGGAGAAAACATTTCTTTGAATTATGTTAAAATTACGGTTAGAGCCATATGAGCCACCACAGACTCTGAGGAACACAGGGACTGGCCTCCTGCTGGGACTCTGAGGAGCACAGGGACTGGCCTCCTGCTGGGACTCTGAGGAGCACAGGGACTGGCCTCCTGCTGGGACTCTGAGGAGCACAGGGACTGGCCTCCTGCTGGGACTCTGAGGAGCACAGGGACTGGCCTCCTGCTGGGACTCTCAGGAGCACAGGGACTGGCCTCCTGCTGGGACTCTGAGGAGCACAGGGACTGGCCTCCTGCTGGGACTCTCAGGAGCACAGGGACTGGCCTCCTGCTGGGACTCTGAGGAGCACAGGGACTGGCCTCCTGCTGGGACTCTGAGGAGCACAGGGACTGGCCTCCTGCTGGGACTCTGAGGAGCACAGGGACTGGCCTCCTGCTGGGACTCTCAGGAGCACAGGGACTGGCCTCCTGCTGGTCCCAGAGTCAGGACTAAACATGAGGAGGCAGCGTTTTAAGATTCATGAAGCTAAACTCTGGAACAGTCTGCCAGGAAATGTGAGACAGGCTTCTACTTTGACAACGTTCAAATCCAGGATAAAAAAAGTTTTTTTCAGCTGTGCGCACCACTGAAGGATTGTATCTTCACTCTTTTCAAAGTAATGCGATTATTAATGATTTCAATGCCTTGTGTGATTGTTGCTTTGAGTTGCCTTGTGTATGAGCTGTGCCATACAAATAAACTTCCCTTGTCTTCCTACACAACAGCAGCCCCATCTCCTTGTTCTCTCTCTGCATCCGGGTCACAATCATCACAACACACTTCAGCACCGGCCACTAAACCCAACCAAACATGACCCTGTCCTTGTTCTGAGCAAATCATTTTTGACCACAGAAGGTCACACGGTGAAGAGGGAGCCTCGTTGGTCCATCTGCTCACACTGATTAGCAATTAATTAAAAAAAACGACCTCTATGGCGCCACACTTAGCTCGTAGCCTGTTTGTATAATGCTAGCAGGTTTGTTAGCGGCTAGGCAAGGCAAGGCAAGTTTATTTATATAGCACAATTCATACACAAGGCAATTCAAAGTGCTGAACAAAACAAGAAAGCATTAAAATCATAAATAATCACAGAACATTAAAAAGAAAGATACAAATATAAAATCCCTCAGTTGTATGCACAGCTAAACAGAACTGTCTTTAACCTGGTTTTAAACATTGTCAGAGAGGAGGCCTGTCTCACATCTTCAGGAAGATTGTTCCAGATTTTAGCAGCATGAATCTGAAAAGCAGCCTCCCCATGTTTAGTTCTGACTCTGGGCACTAACAGGAGTCCAGTCCCTGTGCTCCTCAGAGTCCGGGCTGGTTCATATGGGACTAACATGTCACTAATATATATTTTGGTGCGAGGCCATGGAGAGACTTGTAACAAGCAGAGCTGTTTTAAAGTCTATTCTCTGAGCCACAGGAAGCCAGTGCAGAGACCTGAGCACTGGACTAATGTGGTCGTACTTCCTGGTTCTTGTCAGGACTCGAGCTGCTGCATTTTGAATGTACTGCAGCTGTCTACAGGTTCCCTTCCCAGTAGTTTTCCGTCCGACCCACCTTATGCAACTGTTTCTTTTTCTCCTCTTTGTCCTCGATGTAGCGGACGCCAGGAGGCAGGTACCAGAAGCAGACGTTGGTGTGCTGAGGCTGTGGCACAAAAACACACACAACTCAATATATGTGCCCAGATTTCACTGCAACACATGGAGGTTTTCGCAAATGGGACTTTATTAATGATCAGGATATAACACACATAGTAAAACACATTTCTCTGTTATATCAATCAATGTTTGGATATTTCATGATACTTTGAATCAACTGTGGTTAAAGTTAACCCCTAAATTCTAACAATATGCACAAGGCCGTAATTTTCCACTACATGTTTGGGTTATCTGAAGGCCGGGCTGTACTGGCACCGCAGCGAATGTGGATTGGACGGTCTATGATTCTTCCTGTTTAATATCACATTCTGTAACATGTTTGCTTGTTCTCGTCCATCAACAACAATAAAACATGTCCTCGGTCTGAAAAACGCAATCCCAGACTTTGTCATTTTCTTCAAATCTATGTGCTAGTTTGCGTTTCTCTGTAGGTGCGTCTTAAAAGCCCTGTAAAACTTGTATCTTTCCTAAAAACTCCATGTTGATTGTGCTAACGCTGCCTCTGCTTTCATTTTGACCACACACATCCTGATCCCGACAAATGCTTTGGAAACGAACCTTAGTGCCACCTCCTCCATGAGACTCTGGCTATAAAAGTCTCTCACACTCACTGCAGACATACACACTCACATACTTACTACAGGCATGCCCTCTATCTCTCATATATACACACGCACACATTCACACACGCACAATCACACACACGCAAACATTCACACACCTCAGCAACTGAAGAAAAATGTACTTATATTTTTGTCGCCCATTATAATAGTCATATGAACTGCTGTGTGTTAAAGGGGACAGTCCCATACACCCATTCTAACCCTTCTACTTCCTCCTTTGCAGCCCATGTGTTGTAAAGCTGTAGCTTAGATTGGATTAGATTAACTTTATGTCAGAGAAATGTGACAAAATGCAGTATATTCACTTTTACTGCATATATATAGATGACACCGAGGCTCTAAAAAAGGAAAATGATATTAAATTAGCACCATTCCTTGACTCCTGATGTGTTGTTCTGGGAGCGCAGACGCCTCTCTCCTTTAGACCAGTGTGACCGTGTTCATGGATGGTGTCAGGCTGAAAATGGCGGTAGGTGCAGGCAGAGAGCACCTGGGTTTGTTGCCACAGGACTTGGCCCTCTCCCCATCACCCACCGAGCCAAGCAGCCCCCAGCCTTCAGCAGCTCAGCATGGAGACAAAAGCCCCAAAGGCAATAGCGCTTTTGCTAAACACGACTCTCCATGTGCTGCACTCTTTCAGAAATCATGTGTTTGCCTAATAACCCTGTCATGCAGTGTGTGTGTGTGTGAGAGAGTGTAGACACCGGCCTTTTCATATGCAGAGAGGCAATTATGGTCTATTAGGCTATTCATAAAACATAATAGCGTCGCGTTATAGTAGCGGCTAGTGGCAGAAAAGGCATTCATCTGACACAAAGCAGGAGCACCCCACGTCCCAGTCAAGTCCCCGCAATGACACCAAACACGTAGAGGTATCGCAGCTGCAGGGGCCACTGCACACACACAGTGCACGTATGCAGGACGGTCTAAGGACAGTGCTGATGATCCAGGACACTCCACATTTAATGACATTTATAGACATTGGTCATCTGCCTCTTATTGTCATGGATTCTGTCTATTTCCTGCTTTGTTTTTGTAGTTTACCCCAGTGTCTTCTTGAGGTGTACTTCCTGTTGATAACCTGCCCCTCCCTCTTTTTAGTCCTGTATTTAAGCCTCCTTTACTCCCTGTTCCGTCATTGTCATTCCACTTCTGTTTTAGTTCTTTTCATCAGTCCCCGTTTACTTTTTAGACCTGTTTTTTTTCTATTGCATCCATTATTTTTGCAGTGTTTTGGGTTATTTTGTTTTTGCCACATGACACTTATGGCTCAATGGCTCCATGTGTTTTTTATCATTGCATTTCTTGTGTTTGAACTGTTTCATTCTCTGATCTGTGTTGGTGACTTCAACGGTTTTGTTAAGTCCTCGGAAATAACTGCAGTTGTGATTTAGGGCTGTACAAAAAACAAAAGGAATTGATGGTGCTCCAACACAGGGACCATGTGAAGCGGAGACTGGACTTACTTTCCCGTCGAAGACCATCTCATATCCTTCTCTGTCCTTGATCTTGTTGTAGAGATACTCAGACAGCTCCAGGCATTTGTCGATCTGAGCCTCGAAGCCGATGGTGCCCTGTGTCCAACAACAACACACACATCACACACTCACACGGTCCCAGGGAAACAGATGATGAAGAGGAGGATGAGGAGGAGTACCTTGGCCCTCCACATGAGCCACAGCTTGAAGATGTCCACGTGGCGTCCGCACTGCAGGGCCTTGTCCCCGGTGTCGTAGGAGAGGTCGTAGTGCTTGTCCTGCTGGAACAGGTAGCAGGCGTGCATCTGGTTGCAGCTCTCCATCAAACCCTGTCGGACAAAGAGAGGTCCCATGATGCACTGCTTTAAGAAAAGGTGTCCAGACATTTAAGTAAGAGGGCCACTTTAGCTAACCAGGCTAATGCAGGAGCTAATGTAGACATTCAGACTGAAAGACAGAGAGAACTAAGCTCACTGCTCTAAAAGTCCTCCCGCCTGCATCAAGCTTCATATTGTGAAAAGCTTTACTCCAACAGCAGTTTTCAATCATGCAGCAACCCTCCTCCTCCCCATCTCCGCCTCATTACGGATTAGCTCTTTCTCCCTTCTCTTCGCTCCCACCACCAGGGTCTGGACCCCGGGGAATTTCATCTCATAATCTCCATCTTCCTTTCCTCTTCTGCAATCATCATGCCGTGCTCTTCCGGGGTCTAAGCGCCAAATCTTAACCACATTTCTTGTACAGGAGCAATAAATGTAATCTTTCAAATATTGTCTTCAGAGTATATGTGCTAATTTATGCAGTGTCAGTTCATTGCCAGCCAATCTTCTGTCTATATTGACTGACCTGAAGTTGGCTGGATGACACTGTTAACTTATGTGTCTGATCATAAAGACTACTTTGTGTAAGCGAGGCAGAGGGCCCCATCACATGATATAAAGGACCAAAATGAGCCCCCGGGCCTTAGTTTGGACAGGCCTGGTCTAATGGAGAGATGAATATAAAGAGAATCCAAAAGCGTACCTCCTCTCGGACCAAAAGAGCCGAGCACTGCAGGGGCACGCTCATCATCTTGTGTGGGTTCCAAGTCACTGAATTGGCCCTGCACAAAAACACCGCATTAGTTTGGTATCTGGGGATTCGAACACATAAACGGTCAAACTCTCACCGGTCCACGCCGTCCAGCTTCCAGCGGTGTCTCCTGGACATGAGCAGACTGCCGCCCCACGCGCCCTGACCACAAATATCATTCATCACATTACATTCTTATCCGTTAAAGTAAAGGTCGGTCACTTTAGATGGAGAGATGTTTTTCTAATGTGAGCGGCAGGAAGTCCCGCCCCCACAGCTTCCTGATTGGATGCAATGAACTCAAATCCTTGATAGACAGCAGAGGCCCCACACCATTGGTCAAACTATTCTCCTGCAGCAAATCTCACTGGTGTTGGTTCTTCCAAGGGGAGAAACTATTTCAAATACAGTAATTATGAGAAATACTAAATTTAGACGACACTACAGGTTTTATGGTCAAAGATATTTATTATTTTACATTTGATTTCTTCACTTTCACATGTTTTTAATGTTGAGAAAATGTTTATATTTATTCTCAAACACAATCTGCATGACCTGAAATCTGAATTTTTGCTATGTGCAGAGAAAAGGGTGGTGTTTTTTATTTATTTATTTTTTTACATATTTTTGTATCCTTTGAAGTCCATAGTCATAAATCTATATCTGTTATCTGCATAAACACTGGTAAATAACATTATTTGTAACTATTTGATACACGGAAAATAAATAAATATACATAGATTAAATAACCATAATTACTACTACTACAACTAATAATAATTAAAATAATGCAGTTATTTTTTATTATATAGTGCTTTTTAAGTTATGTATTACTTTCAAAGTTTTATACATTTGATGTTTCTGACTTGACATCACCTTTAATTTTAAGTTTTTTCACTTTTACAGCAAAAAGATGAGCAGTTTATCAGTTCATCAGTCTGAACTGTAGCCTCACTGGCACCTACTGTATCTGCTGTAAATATATTTGTTTATTTATTACATATTATTATTTGTGACATATTTTTTTATCTAGACTTTTGTGTCTGTAATAAAGTTTAATAACAATAAAACATGTTCCCTGAAAACTGAGAATAGGATTTATTCCCAGCAGCACCCGACCGCAGCACAGTTTGTTAGCACCTAATTGGTTTCGTCTTTGCGACATCAACTCATTATTAAAAATCACAATCTGAAGACAGTGATAATGTTTGTGGCTGCGCAGCTTGAGAAATGACGGACAAGGCCATTTGTGTGTCTAATAGAGGTGTCCCCTGTCAGGACTGAATCACCTTCATTAATACACTTCAGAGCCGGAGCCGCGACGGCAAAGTCAGGCCAGCGGATGATTTACGGCCTCTGTTCCACTTTTTCTCATCTCCACTGTTAGATAGGAAATGGCTTGCTCCTATCTGGGTCAGGCCGCGGTACATAATACATTTGTCAGTGAGCTGGAGCTTCACGGACGTGGACGACTGCCAGAATATGAAAAGCAGCTTCCGAGCAGCGCGGGGGGGTTCTGATAGTGTTAGTGTTACTCACGTCGACGTGCATCCAGACGTTGTACTTTTTACACACGTCGGACACGGCGATGAGCGGATCGAAGGCGCCGTAGACTGTTGTTCCTGCTGTAGCACTGACAAAGAACGGCACGAGACCCTGCGCAAAAGAAAGACGTTCTTGGATTAGATATGGTTCGTTTGGATGAGATTGTTAAAGTTAGGGTATCGGGCCGAGTATTGATCCTAGTGGCACCCCAGATTTGGAATTGGAATAGGGCAGGGGTGTCTGTCCTCTCTGACTGACCAATGGAGTGTGACATGTGGGTGACATCATTGATAGCTGGTGGTGTCTCTCACTGTGGGCTCTCTCTCTGACAACACCATGTAGCTGGAAGCCCCTGCTGAGGGCCCAATCCTCTCTCTCTCTGGTCTCTCTCAGGTCTCTCTCAGGTCTCTCTCAGGTCTCTCTCAGGTCTCTCTCAGGTCTCTCTCAGGTCTCTCTCTGGTCTCTCTCTGGTCTCTCTCTGGTCTCTCTCTGGTCTCTCTCTGGTCTCTCTCTGGTCTCTCTCTGGTCTCTCTCTGTCTCTCGGCCAACACCATGTGGCAGAAGGCCCCTGATGAAGGCCTGAGCCTCTCTATCTCTCTCTCTGGTCTCTCAGTTGTCTTTTTCTGGTCTCTCTCTGGTCTCTCTCTGGTCTCTCTCTGGTCTCTCTCTGGTCTCTCTCTGCTCTCTCTCTGCTCTCTCTCTGCTCTCTCTCTGCTCTCTCTCTGCTCTCTCTCTGCTCTCTCTCTGCTCTCTCTCTGCTCTCTCTCTGCTCTCTCTCTGCTCTCTCTCTGCTCTCTCTCTGCTCTCTCTCTGCTCTCTCTCTGCTCTCTCTCTGCTCTCTGTCTGTCGGCCAACACCATGTAGCAGAGAGCTTGTGTCCTTGTGTGTCGACATGTTCATTTTCTGTTTTCTCTGTATATGTATCTAGTAATTATTTAGTGTCCTCTTTTAGCTAAATGCTAACGAATCACTCGGGCGCATTACAAACGTCACAGTAAACTCAGATCCAATCGTTTCAATCTGCAAAAGGAGTTAACCCCTCCCACCTGTTAACAGAGCTCAATGGAGCACCTCCGGACCTTAGTACGAAATGTAATGTGTACTATGGTGTGGTATGACCAGACTACAGAACAAAGTATGGAGGTCAGATTTTGTTCTGTCTGAAAAAAATATGAAATAAACGTCCAGGTTCCAAGGTCGCTGCTGCCTCTGTCTCACATCTCTATAACATGGAAGAATAAGAACATTTGTCTCGTGTTGTCCGTTTTTACAATCAGAAAACAAACTTAAAAGGTCGTAAGTGCAAACAGGGACACACAAAACACAGCAATGTCTGAAAATTAAAATCCTCCTAACAGTCGCTGGTGCAGTCATTTGCATGAGATTACCTTCTGCTTGGCCTCCAGGATCTTTCTTTCAAGGTCAGCTGGAATCATTTTTCCGCTGTCAACAAATGGAAGAGCTTGAGTTGTTGAGCTGCTTGTAAATCTAAAGGCGGACTGACAATTTACCTCCAGTTAGTACCTTTCATCTACTCTGATGCAAACCACGCTCTCGGTGCCGATGCCCAGGGCGGCTGCTCCCTTTTTGATGGAGAAATGGCTCTGAGGAAGAAGCAGAAAACCAGTGAGGAGACAATGGTGGCTGGAATATTATTACATGCAGCAGTTTGTGTGATTAATGTCCTTTAGAGATAAGACATGTGATGTTATGTGTAGGTTCTACTGTATAATGTATAATGTGTATGTAAACGCTGAGATACTGTAAATGTCACAGCTGCTGCAAGCTCTGTCTGTTTTATCCAGTTTAACCCTTTAATGGGAGACAAGGGAGGGGCCAGGGCGAGACAAGAGAGAGACCTGAGAGAGACCAGAGAGAGACCAGAGAGACAAGAGAGAGACCTGAGAGAGACCAGAGAGAGACCAGAGAGACAAGAGAGAGAAAAGAGAGACAAGAGAGAGACCAGAGAGACAAGAGAGAGACCAGAGAGACAAGAGAGAGACCAGAGAGACAAGAGAGAGACCAGTAAGAGACTAGGGAGGAACCAGAGAGAGACGAGAGAGACCAAAGAGAGACCAGCAGATACCAGAGAGAGACCAGAGAGACAAGAGAGAGACCAGTAAGAGACTAGGAAGGAACCAGAGAGAGACCAGAGAGAGATCAGAGAGACAAGAGAGAGACAAGAGAGAGACAAGAGAGAGACCTGAGAGAGACAAGAGAGAGACCTGAGAGAGACAAGAGAGAGACAAGAGAGAGACAAGAGAGAGACCTGAGAGAGACAAAAGAGAGACAAGAGAGAGACCAGAGAGAGACAAGAGAGAGACAAGAGAGAGACAAAAGAGAGACAAAAGAGAGACAAAAGAGAGACAAAAGAGAGACCAGAGAGAGACCAGAGAGAGACCAGAGAGAGACCATCTCCACCATTTGGTAGAGGCGTATAAAAAAAACATGGAGGTTCAAAACAAAAGAAAGAAAATCAGTGCTCTTACATCTTCGAAAAAAACAATTACAATTATTCATTCATTGAGAGAATATTAAAGGGCTAAAGAGATAGTGGTGTGTCCGTGTGATTGTGTGTTTTTAATGTTAGGAAATATCTACAACACAAATTATCTGTATCTTAAATCTGCATTTTAGTAATAATCATTAAGTGTAGAGAAAAGGGCTGGGAAAGGTGAATAGGAACGCTGAGGAAAGAGAATTACTATAATCTCTAGTAAAGATGATAACCTTAATGAAAGCAGCAAGTACAGAAGTTTCTCTATTCTCGTTTGACTATTTACAGATGAAATGAAAAGTAAGACCAGGGCCTACGTGTTCAGAGGTGAAGGCCACGAGCTTGGGGAGACATGACATTCCCTTCTCCTTCACTTCGGGGAACATCTTGAACCGGGCCAGCAGCATGGCGTACATGTTGGAAATAGCACCACCTACAGGACAGACGACACACCTCAGTCCCTTCTGACAGATCACACCATCAGACCTGTCTCTGCAGGCAGCGAGTGATGCAGGCGTTTATATACTGTATGTGCTGACACTGACACTACAGACGGCTAAAGCTGAAAGTTTTCAAAATCAGGTTTGTGTTTTTGGCTCGGCAACAAATGAAAAAGTATTTATGCCTTCGCCTGCTGCTCAAACCAAGACAAAAAATGAAAATGAGAAATTCAAATCTTGTACCGCTGAGGTTTAAGACACACAAGAAATGACTACAGGCTAATTGGATGAAAGAGAAAAAAAGATTCGTTTTTATAATCAAAATGCAAATAGAGACATTTTTGGTCGTGCAGACTGTTCCATGTGTTTGTGGAGGGGGGGAGGGGGGGGGGGGGGGGGTTACATACCAGGAGAGAAAATGCCATCTCCGCGCCCATCCGTCCAACCAATGATCTCCCTCATCTTCTTCAGCGTGACGTACTCCAGCAGCACAAAGACAGGGGCCACCTCATACGTAAACCTGGAGTTACACAAGGCTCGGGTTACAGAAGAGTGAGTCACGGCAAGGACAGACGGGCAAGGACAAGGCCTGGACCAGGCAGGGACCAGGCAGGGACCAGGCATGGACCAGGCAGGGACCAGGCATGGACCAGACATGGACCAGGCCTGTGCTGCTTAGGCGATGATGTGGTTACGTGTTGTGTATCTGTGGGTTTGAGGCTGAAACAGGGATCTATGTGACACTTATATAAGAAGGGAAGATGGTTCAAGCTACAAATATCTTTTCTGTGTCTTCTGTCTCTCAGTGTCCAGGCCACAAAAACAAAATATTTGATTTTTAAATACCAAAATTATAATTCACCATTAGAGAAAGAGAGAGAGAGAGATCAGAGTGAGATCAGAGAGAGACCATAGAGACCAGAGAGAGAGACCATAGAGAGACCAGAGAGAGACCAGAGAGAGAGATCAGAGAGAGACCAGAGAGAGAGCAGAGAGACCAAAGAGAGATCAGAAAGAGAGAAAATGTAATAAGCCTGGGTTTTTATCAGAGTTTGCAGATTTAGGCCATGATTTAGTCGACACAGGCCCCTTTTAAATTCGATTCGATTCAATGTAAAATATTCACATGCATTGGACACGATTCATTCACAAAGAATCTGCTCATGGATCTTATTGTTAAAATAAATCAATTTATAAAAAAATATTGTTGTTTCAAAATATATATACACAGAAATGAATAACTCAGAAATAGAAATTACTGAAGAAGGCGTGGAAGTTTATTTGTATGGCACTAAAATAGATCTGGCTTCAGAAAAAAACGTGTTGGTATAAAAGGCATTTTGTAAATTAACTTTTCAAATATGGTTCTAAAGCTATTATTCGTTTTTATAAATTAACTCTTAATTTTAAAACATCAAAACATGTGTAATTCTTGTGTTAATATTGACTGTGTCTGATCAAAATTGAATTGAAAAACATTTATTTTTGTACAGCCCTGAATTGCCACAGCAGTTATCGCAGAGAATTTACAAAGTTGTCGATTTCCAAAAACACGATCAGAGAATCAGACAGTTCAAAGCCGTTGGTCCATAAGGAGCAGACGACCAATGTCCATAATTGTTAAAATGTCAATAAGAAATATCAAACAAGCCAAAAATATATGAACACCAAAATATAAAAAATCTTGAAAAATCACAAATATTTAAATACGAAAACGTTCAAAATATTAGAAAAATCAACCGCTATTGTATATGTTTTATAGAATATTTTATAGAATATTGTTATTTGGTTTTTAAAAGCTGTATTTATAGAAAGATACATTTTTATCCCTTCCCTTTAGTAGGAAACTATAAATCCACAAACGCCCACCCAAAGCCTGGCCCCGCCCCTATAGACCCATGGCCCCGCCCCTCTGCTCCACCCCTGCGCCAATAGTCTTTATCACTCCAAAACAGACACTTTTGCTGAAGATTAGTCCGAATTTAATTTCAGAGCTAATTTCCCCTCTTGAATACCCCTGGGATCAGAGGTGACGGGGAGGGAGACCAGGCAGGGGCAGGGAGGGGTGACAATCAATTTTCTTTGGCTGTGATTGAATGTGTGTGTGTGTGTGTGTGTGTGTGTGTGTGTGTGTGTGTGTGTGTGTGTGTGTGTGTGTGTGTGTGTGTGTGTGTGTGTGTGTGTGTGTGTGTGTGTGTGTGTGTGTGTGCGTGTGGGTGTGTGTGTGTGGAGGAGGGAGGGGGGACTAGGCAGCTATCAGGCCTCCTACACAAAGCAAACAGACAAGTTGGAATTATAACTCACTGCTATTATCACTGAGACCAGGGGGAAAGAGGCCCCACGCACTCACATGTTGGTGTTGGCCGTGGACGTGAGCCAGTCCGCCGCCAGACCCACCATGTCCAAGCCCGTGGAGAGCTGGTTGAAGTACCTCGGATGGGCTGGAACACACACACACACACACACACACACACACACACACACACACACACACACACACACACACACACACACACACACACACACACACACACACACACACACACACACACACACACACACACACACACACACACACGCACAAACACAAATACATAAGTGCGTGTTCCTGCAGAAATTTGACTTTATCTCCTGTCAATATTGAAAACGAAAGAAAGGGTGTTTTTATGGTGAGTAAGTTTGAAAAGCATCTGCCATCTTGTAAACGTGTAATTGGAGGTTGCAGATATTCAGCTGCTGTGACACGCGGAGGCTTCTTTAGAGAATGATGAAAACATTTGAGTAGAAACAGGATGGCAGGATGAGGCAAAACATAGCAATTAACACTTTATGGGATCTGACGTAATACAAGACAAATTATATATACATTGTTGCGCCGCAGGGAAATGTGCGCAGACTGAAGCTGTGATAAAGTGTGTTCTTGTCTCAGGATGATGGACTTCTCCGTGACGCCCGTTATTAGACCTTTATCTCCTCCTTTAGTGAAACAGATTTACTGCGTCACATGCATCGGTCTGGTGGTTACATGTCTGAGGCCGCTGCTCTTTCCCCAAAAGCACTATTTTTAGACGCGCGCGCCTTGTGCAATTTCGTTGTAAAAACCATTAAATAAATAGTGACGTTGTTTTAAATCCAGAGTTAATGTTACGACTTTTCCATCTTTGTTCTATCTGTTCTTTTAGTGATCAAGGTCAAACGGAGTTTAGTCAAATAAAGCGTAATAATTGCCATAATAAAAGCCTCCACAGTCTGACTATAATTGGAGCAGGAGGACATAGCACTTTATAAGCCTGCGATAAAGGCCCGAGCTCCAGACGCACGCGCCATTAAGTCCACATTTACAATAGGAAGTCTGGGTCTTTTACACGAAAAACGGGGATATTTCTAATGTCGTCACGCACACGAACACGCACGCACATACATGCTCACACGCGTGCGCACACACACACACACACACACACACACGTGCACACATACAAGCATACCCACACACAAGGTCACACACGTACACACGTGCACGCACGCGGACACTTACATACACACGCGCACACTCGCGAGCACGCACCAGTATAAATGCCATATGAGACTATAGGAAGGCTGCATTACTTTTCCCGGATATACAAATATATTTCTTATTTTAAACATTTGTGCAAAAATATACACACGCACACGCACACGCACACACACACACACACACTAACGAACACACGCACACGTGCACACACACGCTCTTGAACGTGGCTTACCTGTCTTGATGGCGTACTTGAGCGTGGCGCGGCAGCTGACCAGGATGTCGTCCAGAGACGCGGGCTGGTTCTGCAGGTCCCAGTTGTTCATCTGCATCAGCTCGTTGGGATAATGGAAATCTATGACTTTGGTGTCGCGGTCGAAGGACTCCACGATGTAGGCCAGAAGAATGTTCACCACCTCCTGCAGGAACGTCATGGTTTTGGCGTCTCCGTCCACCGCCGGGAGGAGGTCTGTGCGACATCACAGGAGCTGGGTCTTTACTCTCCAAAACTATACAGTAATATTCAACGCAATTTATTTCTATATGGCCCTAAATCACAATAGTAGTTTTCTCGGAGGACTTTACAAAACTGTCGATTTGCCAACACAGATCAGAGAATCAAACAGTTAAAACACAGAGAATGCAACAATTAAATACACATATTGGTCATATATATATATATCCATAAATGTTAATAAATATCTTGGATCATCACCACTGACTCTCCTGCATCCCAACAATTATACAAAAGGAAAAGAAATTGTCACGCTTAAAATAACAATAATAATAAAAATATTAATAATACTAATAATACATGGATAATATTACTATAGGAAACACTTCATAATATTCAGTGTGATAATCCACTGCAGAGCCACTGTAGCTGTCCCCGGCCTGTGCAGTGCAGGCCTATGCTGAAGCTTATATGTTACCAAAGAGAGCGCACCTGCGACGTGCTGTGCTGAAGGTGACCTTAAATGACAAAGAGAGAGACACACACACAGGTCTGGGGGCCAAATAAAATATCTTTCCTAAACAATTACACAGAGCTAATACACCTCACACATTTACCCACACACTATATGCCTGAATGAGTCTGTAATGCGTTTTTCTCAATAAAACAGACTATAGGCCTGTACTTTAAATGTGAACAAAAGTGTGATAGTAGGGGGAGCAGAGGGGAGTGTCTGAAATGGGTTCCTCCATCTGCAGCGCGGTGTGGCCTGTGTCTGCACCTAAGAGTGAATATTTGCCTGTACCTGAGGAGAAGAGATCCGAGAAGGCGGCCGTCTTGTTGCAGGTGCAGGCTTTGGTGCAGCCGCAGGGGCCAGGGGCGCTGCTGGGGGGCTGTTTGACTCCAGGATCCGCTGCTTTCTCTCCTTCTCCCACATTTAGAAGCGCTGTTACACCCCAGGCGACGACAGAAAGGTCCGTCAATAAAAATAAACGTCGTATTTTAAGTTTAAATAATGATAATAAAAATAATACAATCATGCAAATAAACGGGGGTGAAGATTCCCGTGCAAACATACCACATAATTTTGATCCAATTCCAACAGGTAATTTCTGAGCTGCCGCCTGACACCAAGCCCTGGCTATGAAAAGAAAAGGTGATTAATCAAACACAATCATGAAGGTTAAAGAATATATGTGATACTTCTGCCTCTGAAGATGAAAAGGTTGTATATGAATAAATAGGTGGATAACAGGCCCATTCAACAGTGCTGTGTATAGTGGCGAGGCTGTGTGCGTGCGCGTCTCTTCAGGAGGTGAAAACAAAGCACCACTCACTCGTGCTGGGGCTCTGGTTGCCGGGGGGGTTATTGGCCATGTTGTTGTCCGCGCCCAGGGACCAGAATCCGGGGGATGCCATGGTTCAGGAGGCGCGCAGACCACAGTCCATCCAGGAGCTGTCCACCGCGGTGGTGCTGAAGCTGAAGCCGATGCCGAAGCCACTCCAAAGCCTTCCCCCGCGCTGCTGCCTCCTCTCCCGGGCTTCAGCCTCTGCACAGGTCCCGGGTGAAAGAAGAGAAGCACATAAGTGTCCAGAGAGGTGGAAGCGAGAGCGCGGGTCCACACTGGTCCACAGGTGCAGAGCCGAGCTGCGTCTGTCTCCACTGATCTCTACAGCTCACTTACTATCACCGAGAGACGCACGCTCCCACGCAACGCACGCTCTCAGGCTTCGGACTAGAACTACAGCGTGCCAGATCAAAGTAAAAACACGTCGATAGAAGAAAAAAAATATTTGCGCAAAAATGACTCAATAAATAAATAAATAAGAATGGGAATTAAATATATTCGCGTTAAACGTGACCACAAGCTGCTCATGGGAGATGTGGTCACGCAGACGTAATTGTAAAGCCTCTGATATTCACGTCACACACACAAAAAAAAAAGCCTCAGCTCATGATTCAGGTCATGACGAAGTGGTTTGCGTCGTGACTCCATACGGTCCCCACACTTACCCTCCATACAGGCAGAGCAGCGCCGGTGTGGTCCACAAGCTGCGGCAGACCAGGGACTTCGCAGCCTCCAGGAGGAAGCGGCCGCCTTCAGGACTCTTGGCTAAAATACATGACGCGCACACGGCTCCCACCTCCAGGCGCTGGCGGGGCGTCACCAGTCTGACATTTTACTATCCACTCCTGGAGAAATGACCATCCAGGAGTCATAGGGGTTTTATAATAACACAGTATTAGTATAGTAGGCTATGTTTTACGTGCTGGTTTACTGAAGTTCACTGCATGGACTTAAGGGTAAAAAGTAGATGCAGCAGCTCAGCCTGACATTTTACACAAGAGAAGCTGATTCAAAGGGGAAAAAAATATTTAAATTTAACATTTATGGACATTTATGGTATCCGCCCCTTATGGACCACTGGCTCTATGTGTTTTGATCCATACATTTCTTGCTTTTGAACTATTTTATTCTATGATCAATTTCGTGAAGTCCCCCAAGAGAACAGCTGATGTGATTTAGGGCCATACAAAAATACATGAAATTAAATTGAAAACACAAATCAACACATGCATTAGTCTGATGATCGGTTGTGAGTAAACCTTTGGTCGTGTTTTGCCTGTTTTTACTTCCTTTAAGCGTAAATGTTGTATGTTTTTCTCTGCGTACTGCGTTGCCATGTTATCTGCACATACATTATTCACATACATGTAGTTCTGTGCATTCGGGGTGAGATGAATTCACGAACAAACCCTGTGGGGCGTTTCTCCATTCAAATGTCACTTAAATGTCGCTGGGTTCAAATCTCATAGAAATTTATCTAGGACAACGAGGAGAAGTGGAGAGACAGCAGCAGAAATATCGCAAAACATATTTTAAAAAACACTATATTCATGAAAGGGTTAATGCAAAACCTGGGCTATTGTTTTTTTTCCGGGATTTTGTGGAGGGCTAGAGCCTTTCACAGATTAGAGCAACACAACGCTTTACAATAGTTGTGTGTATTGTCTCACACTCCACACACAGAGATAGGAGCAGGGTCACCACACAGGAGGCGCATGGCAGACCTACTGTTCATGTGCTGTTTTCAGGGGTGTAGGGGAAATCGGAGCACACGGAGGAAACCTGTGCAAACGCAGGGAGAACATGCAAACGCCACACAGAGAGGCCCCATCTGGTACCAAAAAATATTCACAGACGAAAAGGAGACCTGAGGATATCCGATGTTTTGTGATGGTGTGCGCCTTTTTTCTGTTTTAACCGTTTATTATATGTGAGGTACTTTGAGAATATTATTAGTTTAGTAAATATGGATTCTTTTTTTTTTGGCTTTAGATTCCAATTCTTGCTTGGACTGAACCAAAGCTAAAGAAAACCATGTATAGTGGACAGAAGAATGTTTTTGATTTTTCTGAGGTATAATATGCCATTGTTGCACTCATGAAGCTGCAGATATGGATTGGGTTGATAAGATAAGATAAGATAAGCTTTATTTATCTCACATAGGAGAAATTTACATGTGATTCTCATTCATCTAAATAGGGGGAGACGGTATGAAGTTTGCAGAAGGGAAAGGTCTGAGGCCACATGTCTGGGTTTAAGTGTAGTTTATAAGGCAATAGTACTTTTAGACCAACATTCAGATAAAAATATACAAAAACAAGGCAATAACTATTACTCTAGAATTAAAATAATGTTGTTTATTTACATGACGGCTACAATCAAACAATATACAGTGTATGGCAAGACTTTTGACAAGAACAAAACAGAAATATTGGTTTGTTCAATGCTTTTCAATTTAAAATCGTCCTTATTCTACAATATCATACATGATTGAAAGTGTCTGTAGTGTCCAGTGTCCAGACGTCTGTGGTAAGAGCACAGTCTGTCTCCACATGTGCGAGACTGGGGGAGGAGGTTAGTACTGCTTTATCAGCCTCCGTCTCTGCGAAGTCTTCCTCAGCAGGTGCCTAAAGTCGTAGGGGTTGTCATCGGCGGAGGACAGCGAGGAGCCGGTGGAGGTCATTCTGGGAAGTGACCGCCTGCACACAACAAAAGGCAAGACCGGTCGTGACAGAAGAAGAAGAAGAAGAAGAAGAGAAAGTGCGAGAGGAGGAGGAAGAGTGAGCAGGGGGGAAGTATGGGGTGATTCATGTGGTGTGTGTGTGTGTGTGTGTGTGTGTGTGTGTGTGTGTGTGTGTTTGCGTGTGTGTGTGCTGTCAGAGGAACCAACAGGGAGATCGTGGGGGAAATAACACATGTACAAAGAGTGATTGTTATAATGTTTGACCGAGGGCGACAGTGGCTCAGTTGGTAGATTGGTTGTGGGTTCGAGCCCCCCACCACAAGACCTTCTCCACTGACTCCCACTGATGTCTGCTGTTGTTGAGTCCTTGGGCAAGACACTTAACCCACTTAGTCTATAAGGAGCGCGGGAGTGATATTCGCTGCTTGCCTTGATCAGATTCAGATTCAGATTCATGTGTATGTGTATGTGTATGTGCAGTATATGTATATGTGTATGTGTATGTGTATGTGTGTATGTGTATGTACAGTATATGTGTATGTATATGTATATGTGTGTATGTGTATGTACAGTATATGTGTATGTATATGTATATGTGTGTATGTGTATGTGTATGTGCAGTATATGTATATGTGTATGTGTATGTGTATGTGTATGTGTATGTGTATGTGTATGTGCAGTATATGTATATGTGTATGTGTATGTGTATGTGTATGTGCAGTATATGTATATGTGTATGTGTATGTGTGTATGTGTATGTACAGTATATGTGTATGTATATGTATATGTGTGTATGTGTATGTGTGTATGTGTATGTACAGTATATGTGTATGTATATGTATATGTGTGTATGTGTATGTGTATGTGTATGTGTATGTGTATGTGTGTATGTGTGTATGTGTATGTGCAGTATATGTATATGTGTATGTGTATGTGTGTATGTGTATGTACAGTATATGTGTATGTATATGTATATGTGTGTATGTGTATGTGTATGTGTATGTGCAGTATATGTATATGTGTATGTGTATGTGTATGTGTATGTGTATGTGTGTATGTGTGTATGTGCAGTATATGTATATGTGTATGTGTATGTGTGTATGTGTATGTACAGTATATGTGTATGTATATGTATATGTGTGTATGTGTATGCATCAAACTGAATGTCCCCATTGTTGGATGATTAAAGGACCTTCTTCAGCTCCAGTGTGGATCCAGACAGAGGCCCGGACCACAGCTTTTATCACCTAGTCTGAACCTATCACTCCCCTACCACTGAAGAGTCCCCATAACGGCTGTGTTGTTTTGTGTCTCTGTTTCTGTACTCGTCTGGTGCACACTGCGTACTTTTACACATGTATTCCAATATGATTTTACTACAAATGTCAAAAAATCTGAATCTTGTCCATGCATCTTTGAATATCACAACATCAATCAGCTTTTCGTTGAGGAGATTTTTACGCCTCGTCTCAAGACCCACTTTTGTTCTCTGGCCTCGAACACTAACAAACCCTCTTGAGTTCTCTCCATTCAAACGTCACGTAAAGATCCAGACCTGTTGTCCTGGTTGCGTTTCGGAGGCAGCTGTTCGGTCAGGGCCCTCTCTCGCTGGTCCTTCTCTGGGGACCCACTCCTGCTGCCGGAGCTCCCAGACTCAGGCCTCTCCTCAGAGTGGGCCCTCTCCGGTGTGGAGCTGGGGGACAGGCCGGGGTAGTACTGGTCATCCACGTCCAGCAACTTTCCAGGTCTGGAAGAGAGGAGCATCGTATGAGAAAGGGTGATAGCAATGCAGTTATTTATTGATGGGTGAGGTCAATTCTGTAAACAGGGTGGGAGTCTGTATGTTCTTCTCCTCCTTTTGAGCTGAGAAAAACCAGAAGTCATAAATATATTGGTAAATATATAAATTTATTTCTATGCATGTGTCTGTGTATGCTATATGTAGAGTGGATGAAATTAAATCGTTTGGACCAAGGAATACTGCATGCCTTTAGATACTGTCCAACTTTTAACATTCTTTATTATATGTAGGATAAAAATAAGTTAAGAATTGAGCAGAATATCGAATGAACTGTCTCCACGTTTTTGAAGCTAGCTGCGAAATGGTGGCTTCGCTTCCCGTTAGCAAAACATCAAAGATTATCCCTACACCAAAAATAAAAAAATGTGTTATTCAATTATGGAGGCTATGTATTGTTATTTTCATTTTCTTTTTGATTTTTTCTTGTTGTAATACATTGTTTTTAACTGTGATTCCAGGAAGATTAGCAACCGCATTGGTAGAAGCTAATGACAATCCCCAGTAATCAATAAAACCATAAACAAAACCAGATGCTCTAATTTTATGAAGACCAGCAAACCATAAGAGCCCATTCTGTCCTCCAAAAATCTGCTTTTACACAACTCTGAATCATAAATGGTGTTTTGCTGCTTCGGTTCGGAACGCGAGCCGATAACCCCGTGCTACACCTTTTGCATATGCGCCGGTCATTTTATCTTTAGCAACAGTGGGCACATAATTACTGAGTCTCTGCATCTCTCTGCATCTCTCTGCCCACAGACTTGTGCAGGAAGCATTTACCAGCTCCACAAAGGCTCAGCTCATCCTGGATTTAATCTGAATATTAAGAGCGGAATTAAAAAGAAAATCTAGATCAATGCTTGTACATAGAATATTGGACATCGCTGATAACAGAGAGTTTGTTTCCGGTAATTATCTTTGAAAGAGGAGCCTGGACCAGTGGGAACGTGGTTTTAGACTCTGGTCAGTGTAAGGCCACAGGAGAGCTACAAAGGGAGCTACAGGGGAGCTGGAGGAGAGCACCTAACCCTCAGCTTTGACCTGCACTGGACAAAATTATTTATTCTAGTTCTGTGAAGCAGGGGTCGACAATCTTCTTTGCCCTGCGTACCCCCTATTGAGGAAAAAATATCTCCGAAAATGTTGAAATCCTTGACAGTCATTGAAATTGTTAGTTAGACAAGTAGGAGAGACTCAGACACATAAAAGGGGTTTTTAGAATTGTATTTATTGGTCTGCTCCTACATAAACTAGACTCTGTCAACGTTAAAGGCAAGAATTACGTTTATTGCAGCTGTATGTGTAATGGAGTTCAGATTTGGCGCTCAGACCCTGGCAGAGCCCTACATGAAGAATGGGAAATTAAAATAGAGATTCTGAGATGAAATCCCCCGCGGTCCAGGCCCTGGTGGTGGGAGCTAAGAGAAAGGTTGAAGAGCTGGTCGGGCTGACGAGGCGGTGATGGGGAGGAGGAGGGTTGCTGCACGAAGGCTTGATGCTCGGTGGTTTCTTTTACGTCTCTTTTAGTTCAAGTCCTTGTCCCCTGTTTGGTGCTTTCTGTATATTTACTCTGGATTTTGCCTTGTTATTTGCTTTATTAAAACACTTATTTTTACAGTCATGGGTTTTAGCTTATTTTCATTCAGATATTTTAGTTCTTTTGAGAGTTATTCCTGACCCAGTTCTTTATCGTTTGATTTTGGATTTGTGCTATATCCTGGGTTTTGTTTATCAAAGCTTGTATTTTGGGCAGTTCTGCATTTGACTTCTTCTTTCTGTTTCCACCTCCAGCCAAAGTAAAGACCTCTGCAGACTTGAAACTTCATCATCATCAACGGGAACTTCCTGAACTTGTACTGAATCTCCACAAACATGACTTTCTTGGACTTCCTCAGACCTCAGACCTCTCCCTGGTTCCTCCCTTACCAGCCGCACACTGAGACTCCTCCTCTACCACCCACACTCTCACACTCCTGCCGTCAGCGAGGGCCTGAGATGCTATCGGTCCCGCTGACCTTTTCGTCCTTAATGATGCATGTAAACCGCCGCTGCCCGTCGCCGCCGCTGCCCGTCGCCGCCGCTGCCTTTATTTATCTGTTAATAAACGATCGGGTCTGATTCTGAACCCCCACAGACGTGTGCGTGTGGCCCCTTTAACCCCATCAGGCCCTGGATCAGCTCTATCTGTGTTGTTTGTGTATGAATGTGCTTACGTTATCGCAAAATATGGAATAAGGACAGTGCTTATGGTCAGGAAAGGTGATTATGTCCATGAAAACACATTTACTAACACAATAATTGACCGTTTAGCAGATTATTATACGTTTTCATGGACTAATCATTGAATATATGTATCTTTAATCAGATTATTTAATATTCATGCCGCAGTTGTCATTTATGGACATCGGTCATTTGCCTTTTATAAACCAAAGGCTCTATGTTTTTTTTTACAAGCCTCGTGTTCCAAGATGGCGCCCTATTCAAATCAATGGCTCGTTCTCAGTAGCTCATGTGCCACCATGGGGACCGAAATATTGGCGGAACTTGACCATATTTGGGCATTGTCTGGTCCTCCCGGTTCTGCGCAGTGGACGGTAGATCCCATGATGCTTTGCGCCAAATATGCGTGTGTGGCTCTCATGCACGGCCGCGTTCTGACCAATCAGAGCTGCGGATCAGGGCGGAGCTAGAGCTGGAGGAAAACGAGTTTGTTGCACTAAAGTGTGGATTTAAAGAAAACCAAAGGATTTAATAAGAATGAATATTATTATTATCTTACATATAGATAGATACTTAGAGAAGAACCAGTTTCCGTATTAGCACTTACTGTAACAGGGTAATATAAATGTAAGGATCCACGGAGAGTTTGATCAGACCCAACAGTAGCATTGGCTGCGGGTTATGAGCAGAAGACGTAGAAGTCTGAGAGAAAAGGAAATGATCACTCACCCGTCTTTCCGCGGTTTGCGTTTATCATCATGGACTGAACGCTGAGAGAAGAAAGAAAAACACGGTTAAATGATGAAGCTGGAGTAAGTCACATTTATGTCCCATGAACACAGTGTGTTTGTCCCAACAGAGAGCCCTGTTTAAGTTACGTGTTGTGAACAAATTGTACCACAACCTGCCGTTTTTATCTTATCAGAAAACGTTTTATCTTCTACAGACTGAGAGCTGATTGGCTGAGTGTGGGCTGATCTAAAAATGAGGCGAAAAATACAGGGATAGTTACAATTTTACAATTTTATCTTATAGTTATTTTTATATGGTTCAAAGTTTGTAAATTCAGCTTTGATACGGGAGGGTCCACGGACAGGGGATGATCCAGGACAAATGTGTACATTGGTGGACCCATTATTCTACAGAACAATGACATTAAATGAAACGGTAGCGGCTGCAGCTCACGTGGATGAGGTTGTAGTACGTGGAGTCCTCCAGGGAGTCCAGAGTCTTGGGCTGCTGTGACCTCCGGGGGGTCCTCGAGGTCCTCTTCTCTGCTGAAACAGGAGCTTGGATCGCTGGAGAGAAACCATTCAAGTAAGTGGGATATCGGCCGGACCAGTTTTCACACGGTTATCTTTTCATAAAACATATTTTCTGACAAGATAAGTACTATCCTCTCCTCTCTCCTCCTGCATCTGTTGACATTATGACTTATAATAGCAATGAACATGATGGAACCCCAAAATCCCGCCTATTTCATTTGATCTACAGCCTGAGACCAGGGTCTACAGCCTCAGTCTAGCCTCAGTCCTGGATCTACAGCGTCAGTCCTTGATCTACAGCCTGAGACCAGGGTCTACAGCCTCAGTCCTGGATCTACAGCCTCAGTCCAGCCTCAGTCCTGGATCTACAGCCTCAGTCCTGGATCTACAGCCTCAGTCCTGGATCTACAGCCTCAGTCCAGCCTCAGTCCTGGATCTACAGCCTCAGTCCTGGATCTACAGCCTCAGTCCTGGATTCTCTGAGCTCTGGCATCACACACGGCTGCAGTCTGTCCTTCAGACCTCTGAACTCGTTTCCGTTATCGACGTGACCTCCATAACCACCCCAGCTTAACCCTTAGGCCTTTGCCAGCTTTGAATTTTCCAACCATACACAAGTTGTTCTATAGTTTTGTGACAATTCAATTCCTCATCATCGCTCTGGCATGAAATGGGAGGTGTTACTTTGCTGTGTGTGTGTGTGTGTGTGTTAGCATCATGTAAGTGTTGATGTGTGACCATGTAAACTCAATCATAATTCCCATTGACCTTTGCTTACAACTTGTGATTAATTACATTCAAAACAAGGCGCCAACCCAAAGTAATCCATCACAGACAAATCCAACTCTAAGGTGCGTTCAAACTCCCTCGTTTTTTTCCTCACTACAACTCTATTTAAAGGTCATTGTCTATTACCCCAATGACCGGAGCCAATTTCGCACCGACTTCATTAAACCGAGATGTGATTGTGGGAACGCGAGCTCGCAAAAACAAGATTAACATTTTGATGACCTTCGCCTTGAAGAACAATGTGACTCTGATTTCATTCGTCAAAAGTGATGCCGTTCAATTTATGACGACGCCCTAAATTGTCGATTTGGGAATGACCTGATGGGATAATGGGAAATTATTTTTTATTGAAGGTGAAGTCTTTGAGAGAAAAAAATAGTCAGACATAACTTTAGCTCTTGTTGGTGTGTGTAAAGGGTAAAAAAGTCTGTGATTTACAATTCTACTGTAGACTATTACTATCTGCTTTATCCTTGTATTTTAACAGATGTTTAGTTTTTCTCACAATATAAACTTGTTTTATTATTTATTTTTAAATACTATGCAAGCTACTGTGACAACACAATTTCTCTTGTGGATCAATTAAGTCTGTCTAGTAAGTAAGTAAGTAATGTTTATTTATATAGCGCATTTTACAGACCAAGGTCACCAAAAGCGCTTTACAGTGTTCAGAGTCAGATATTGTACAAAATCATTCCACACACGGTGATGACAGAAGCGAGTCCAGAACACACGGGAGTGGATGGATCAGCTCCCATTTTTATAATTATTATTATTATTAATTATTATTATTATTATCATTATCATTATCATTATCATTATCATTATCATTATTATTATTATCATTATTATTATTATTATTATTGCTATTATCACTATTATTGCTATTATTATTATTATCATCATCATCATTATTATTATTATTATTATTATTGCTATTATCATTATTATTATTATTATTATTATTATTATCATCATCATCATTATTATTATTATTGCTATTATCATTATTATTATTATTATTATTATTATTATTATTGCTATTATCATTATTATTATTATTATTGCTATTATTATTATTATTATTATTATTTTTGTTATTATTACTTCATTATTCTTGCCTTAGAGTGTACTACAGATGTATCTACAGATGTACACATACAAGTATATATGTGTATACTTTTTATACTTAGGTAAACAGATTCTATTTTATTCTTTGAAGTACAGTGTAGTTGTGGTTTGTTAAACATTCACTTCTTCTTCTCTTGTGTGCTCCTCTTTCCTCCTGTTGTGTACCCTGCGATGCAACACTGACATTTCCCCGCTGTGGGATCTTCATCTTATCCCAATAATGATTTGTGGATTTATGGTGAGTTAAAAATCAATATCTCTGTAAAATGATATAGATTTTTGAAAATTAGGCACAATATTGATTTTTTCCCCCAGATTTTCTTCAGGAAAAAGTATAAATATAAACTTGACTTTAATAACCACAAATCTTTAATTGAACATAAATGCATTAATAGTGTTGTGTTTTAGTTTAAATGTTTTAAAGCCTATGTGTCCCTATGCTCTCTACTGTATGTGTCCCTATGCTCCTATGTGTCCCTATGCTCTCTATGCTCTCTATGTGTCCCTATGCTCCTATGTGTCCCTATGCTCTCTATGTGTCCCTATGCTCTCTATGTGTCCCTATGCTCTCTATGTGTCCCTATGCTCCTATGTGTCCCTATGCTCTCTATGTGTCCCTATGCTCTCTATGTGTCCCTATGCTCTCTATGTGTCCCTATGCTCCTATGTGTCCCTATGCTCTCTATGCTCTCTATGTGTCCCTATGCTCCTATGTGTCCCTATGCTCTCTATGTGTCCCTATGCTCTCTATGTGTCCCTATGCCCCCTATGTGTCCCTATGCTCTCTATGTGTCCCTATGCTCCTATGTGTCCCTATGCTCTCTATGTGTCCCTATGCTCTCTATGTGTCCCTATGCTCCTATGTGTCCCTATGCTCTCTATGTGTCCCTATGCTCCTATGTGTCCCTATGCTCCCTATGCTCTCTATGTGTCCCTATGCTCCTATGTGTTCCTATGCTCTCTATGTGTCCCTATGCTCCTATGTGTCCCAATGCTCTCTATGTGTCCCTATGCTCTCTATGTGTCCCTATGCTCTCTATGTGTCCCTATGCTCTCTATGTGTCCCTATGCTCTCTATGTGTCCCTATGCCCCCTATGTGTCCCTATGCTCTCTATGTGTCCCTATGCTCTCTATGTGTCCCTATGCTCTCTATGTGTCCCTATGCCCCCTATGTGTCCCTATGCTCTCTATGTGTCCCTATGCTCTCTATGTGTCCCTATGCTCCTATGTGTCCCTATGCTCTTTATGTGTCCCTATGCTCCTATGTGTCCCTATGCTCCTATGTGTCCCTACAGTATGCTCTCTATGTGTCCCTATGCTCCTATGTGTCCCAATGCTCTCTATGTGTCCCTATGCTCTCTATGTGTCCCTATGCTCTCTATGTGTCCCTATGCTCTCTATGTGTCCCTATGCTCTCTATGTGTCCCTATGCCCCCTATGTGTCCCTATGCTCTCTATGTGTCCCTATGCTCTCTATGTGTCCCTATGCTCTCTATGTGTCCCTATGCCCCCTATGTGTCCCTATGCTCTCTATGTGTCCCTATGCTCTCTATGTGTCCCTATGCTCTCTATGTGTCCCTATGCTCCTATGTGTCCCTATGCTCTTTATGTGTCCCTATGCTCCTATGTGTCCCTATGCTCCTATGTGTCCCTACAGTATGCTCTCTATGTGTCCCTATGCTCCTATGTGTCCCTATGCTCTCTATGTGTCCCTATGCTCTCTATATGTCCCTATGCTCTCTATGTGTCCCTATGCTCCTATGTGTCCCTATGCTCCTATGTGTCCCTATGCTCTCTATGTGTCCCTATGCTCTCTATGTGTCCCTATGCTCTCTATGTGTCCCTATGCTCCTATGATGATTAAAGGGCGCCCAAAGCAAGAGCAAGAATGACATTTTCTCCAGATGCTGAACTTTCAATTATCTCCCCCTCTCCTCTCCTCCCTCCCCCTCTCCTCCCCTCCCTCCCCCCTCTCCCCCTCTCCTCTCCTCCCTCCCCCTCTCCTCTCCTCCCTCCCCCTCTCCTCTCCTCCCCTTCCTCCCCCCTCTCACCCTCCCTCCCCCTCTCCTCCCCCTCTCCTCCCCCTCTCCTCCCCTCCCCATCCAAAGCAATTACACCTATCATCCACATGCATCACATTATATTTCTGATGACCCGACGTGTGTGTGTGTGTGTGTGTGGGGGGGGGGGGATGTGTACTTCCTGTTTGGGCACTTGACTCGCCAGTTTCTCTGATGTAATCACGCTTCACTTGGACGAAAACAGCGGCGAGTTTGCAGATAGCATCATGGGAGTAGCTGCTTCTCTGAATGGGCAGGAGACTCAGGCCGGTGGGCAGAAGAAGGTCAACCGTTTGTTTCAGGCAGATTTTTGGAATTAGGCCAATTAAACTTCAGAATAAGTCACAATATCTACTGTAAGCGTGGAACTGAACATTGGGGCATCTCACTTAGTTTTGGACACTTTTATCATCAAACTGCATCTCAACCATTCAGTAAAGGCTTATAAATAAATAAAAACTAGTACCAATGGCCGCCCTGGATGCCTTGCCTCTGTCAGTGTGTCCCAGGGCAGTGGAAACAGTTGTTATGAGCAGGACTTGAAAAGGTCGACACTAGATCGATCATATACGGAATCGGGACGAAAGAGGAAGTAACAATCCTACTTTCCAATTAGTTTTAGACTAATGAGTCCTTAAGTGGTGACTGGTTAAGTTTGAGGTGTCTGAGTGAGATGGTTAAGGTCAGGGTTAAGGGTGGGTTGGGGTTTTTCTATGGGAATGGCTGGTTAAGTTTAGACATGACTAGGTAGTTTGTTATATTTACTTCTGCTTCCGTCCCGATTCTGTATACAGTATGATCTAGTGCTGACCGAGCCTGGCCTTATCCATCCGAATACTCTAGTCCAGTGTCTCCCAAAGTGGGGTCCGCGGCCCCCTGGTGGGCCGCGTGGGTACTGCAGGGGGGCCGCGGGAGGTCATAAAATAAAAAAATATATATATATAATTATTTAATGTTACATTTATAATGTTTTGTTTGTAATATTAAAATATTTGTGTTCATGATTTGACTTGAATAATCCACTGTAATCATTTTTGTATTACAATGTTTGTAGCAGAGGCTATTTCCCCAAAATAAAATAACCAGAAGAGCCTATTCTTAATGTTGTCGTCTTGGTTATTATTTTGGGGGGCCACGCAGACCCGTCAGATTTTTAAGGGGGCCTCGGTGTTACTGAGTTTGGGAATGGCTGCTCTAGTCAATTATTATTTCACTGCATGTAACGTCTGGGTCTGGTCCCTATGTTTGGAAATTGGTTGAATTCTGTTTGACCAATCAGCGAGCACGGAAGGCAGATGTGGGTGACGTCAAGAGTTTGCGTCGAACGGGCAGGTTGTGGTTAAGCAATCACCAAGAATGCGATAGTAAAGTATTCCGGTCTGGTTCTATCAAGAAATTTAAGCTGCAGCAAGAGGAATGTTTAGCAAATGTAATCGCAGGAAAAACTGTGGCGCTACTCCCCACGGGCTCCGTTAGCGGCAAAGGAGATGGCTAAAGCTAGGCTAAATACGGAATGTTAACGACTCACTCGGGCGCATTACCTACGTGACGGTAAACTCAGATCCAATCGTTTCCAATTGACACTGTTTCCAATTGACACTTGTCACTTTTGTTGCACATAATTATTGTCACTTTATTGTACATATATATCCTGCATGTAACATGTTTTCACATTTCCTCCTTTTGAAACAATCTGAGTGTCTCTATCCATGCCAAATGTGACATGTACATTTCTCCTCTGTGAGATAAATAAAGCACATCTTCAATCTGCAAAAGGAGTTAACCCCTCCCACCTGTTAATGAAGTCAATGGAGCGCCTCCAGACCTTAGTATGAAATGTAATTTGTACTATGGTGTGGTACGACCAGGCTAGTGCTGACCGACTTGAATACAGTAATGGTATATTTAGTTGCAGTACCCAACCTGGCCATCGGGGGGCGCCTGCTGTTGACCTGTACAAAGTTTAGCTAACTCTTCTGTGTGCCTGCGAGCTGGTGGCAGGTTCCTGTTCTGTGTGTAAACAGCGTGTGTGCGTCCAATAAAGAGCCCACCTACCCATCACAAAAATCTTGAAAAAAATAAATAACAAAACAAATCATTTGCGTCCTGATCGACGTCCACTCCGCGACAACAATAACACAACAGCTAGCTAATTATTGTGGACCCTACACCAGTACAGCAGCAGTAGGACACGGTGACACTGCTGCTAACATGTACAGATGCTAACATATAACTACACTTTGTTTGCACTAGAAAACACAGTACTTTATACTTGCCTCTTATTCTGCCAAATGTAAAAATGTTATTTAAAAACTCTGCATTAATAATAAACTGGATTGGATCGATAAGTAACAGCCTTGTCAATCTCTCCATATTGCTTGTTCTCCCTGCTTCATAAACGCATGTGTTGTGTTGTATTGTGTTGTATTGTGTTGCAGGTAGATGACTGGAGCTGCCGTTCTTAATAATCCTATGAAAAACAGTAGCGAGCGTCAGGTAAACACACATTAACCCGGGGTCCGCTTCCCTTCGTACGGCGTCTAATAGATGATAATGTGTTTTTGGTCGGGTCGCACTGCCTTATCTCTCACCTGATTGGGCGTTCGGAGGAGCGTGGCCGTTCACCGTGTTATTCCCTTTCACAAACACGCCGCTCTTCTCCGGCTTTGATTGATGGGCCTGGAGCATCTCGTTCAGTTTGTGCTGCAGGGTCGCGAAGCCCTGGGACGTCTGCGAGATCTGTGCATAGACACGAGACACAAGAACATGGAGAAATAAGTGTGGGTTTTGGACTGGCTCTACCGATATGGGTTTCTGATTCAAATGGCAGAAAGACACATTGTTTATTGTATTAATTGTCAAACAGGCTGCACATAAACAGTAGTTGGTGTTGAATCTAATCTACAACTTGGCAATTAGGACATTTACTGTTTAAGTGACTTTTATTGAATATGGGTTTGGATATTTTTTGGTAGATTTTTCTGGACTGTTCAGCGGGCTCCTCCGACTCCCAGACCTAGTATATCTTTTCATGGTTTTACCTATTTGCGCCATTTTAAGTGAGTGTGTGTGTGTGTGTGTGTGTGTGTGTGTGTGTGTGTGTTATAGAATGAAATATATGTGGTTTGGGTTGGATCTATTGGGTGGTCAAGTTGATGAGTCATGGGCATGTGGGATTGTTTTTAACCCGACTCTAAAGATGAAAATGAAAAGTGCTTCATGAATAAAATTGTGTTGATTGACTTTGAAAAGTAAAGCTTGCTGAATATGGTGTAAATTACAGATTCTATTCTTGGTATTTTCCTGGTGAAATGATCATTAAAAAGGTATAACACGCCATGGTAGCATGACGGCTGGATGGGAATTTTAGGCCATGTTTCATAATCTCTAAAATTGTCTCTAATTGATTGAATTGGTCAGGATCCTGGGCGTGCGAGATTGTTTTTAACCACCTGGATTTTGAAATGTAAAGATGGCTGAATACTGTGTTATTTACAGATTATAATTGTTTATACATTCCTGGTCAAATTAGCTTTAAAATGAGGTATAACACGCCATGGTAGCATATCGGCTGGATGGGAATTTAATGGCCAATCGCTGGTTAAACTATCTCTAAAATCGCCTCTAATTCTCTGGACTGGACACTTTGCTATTTCATTTGTTATTCATAAAAAAAATATGGACCTCTGACTCTATGTGTTTTCTGATAGTGCATTTCTTGTGTTTGATTCTCTGATCTGTGTTTGCGAATCGACAGCTTTGGGAAGTGATCTCAAAGTGATCTCAAAGTGATCTCAAAGTGACACCTTTCTCTCTTTCACCTGATCCGAAATGATCTTTCAGGGTTCAAATCTATGTTGAGTCCGGTTTAGGTCGCTCACTCACCTCTTTGGAGAACTCTTCTAACTGCTGGGCTTGGTTGTGTGCACCTTGCTGATTGGCTTTGAGGTTCTTTCTCTCCTTGTGTCCCCTGAAGTGGCTCTGGATCTTGACGGCGGCCTGCTCCTCCTCTCTCCTCTCCTCCTCCTCCTCTTCCTCCTCGGTTTTGTCTTTTCGCTCGATCGTGACATCCTCGACATCCACCTCTCCTTCGTCTTCCATCTCCTCTGCTTTCTCCTTCTCCTTCTCCTCCCTCTCCGCTCTCAGCTTCTTCCTCTCTTGATGACCTCTGAAGTTGCTCTGCAGTACAGTAGCAGCTCTCTCTTCGTCCGGTCCCTCCTCGTCCTCCGCCGGTTCTCCATCCAAGGGTCCATCCTCGCTCTCCTCTTCTGGTCTCGCCGATTCTGCTTCCTTGTTCTTCTTCTTGGGTATTTTCCCTTCCTCTTCCAGACGTTTGCGCTCTTTGTGCCCGCGGAAATTGCTTTGTAGCACCACTGCAGCCTTGGCTTCGTCCTCATCGTTCGTTTCTCCGTTAGCTTCGGTCGCACCTTGTTCCTCGCTAGTAACTTCCTCTGCCACAGCTACAGACCCTTTGCTTTTCTTCGCCGGAATCTTGCCTTCTTCTTGTAGCCTTTTCCTCTCCTTGTGGCCTCTGAAATTGCTCTGGATGACGGTAGCGGCTTTAGTTTCGTCTTGCAAATCGCCGTCTTGCTTTGCTTCTTCTTCTTGCGAGACATCCTCAACAACAGTGTCTTCTTCCACCTCCGTGAGCGTGTGGTCGCTGTCGTCGCTCGGACTTTCTTCCTCGTCCTGTTCAGACACCGCCGCTGCCTCGTCGCTGCCCCCTCGCTCCGTGGCCTCGCTCGGTATTTCCAGCTCGGCTCCAGCCATGGTCTTCTTCCTCTCCTTGAACCTTTTCCGCTCCTGATGCCCCCTGAAGTTGCTCTGGAGCACCACAGCGGCCTTGGCCTCCTCCTCCTCCTCCGCCTCGGTGTGGACCTGGTCTGCCTTCTTCTCGTCTGTTGTTAGTTCTTCCGCAGAAGCCTTTTCGGATTCTTCTTGAGCTGTTTTCTCAGCTTTTTCTTTTTCAATGGCCTCCCTAAAACATACAGCAAGGCAGACGCAAACGTGAAAACAGAAAGCTTCTTAAAGTTTGAATAATACCAGCATAATAACAACTTTATCATGAATTAAAGCTGAGGTATACAAGCTTCTATCACTAGTTTTCATATCATGTTTTTTTGGTCTCTGTCACATCTTAAGATCAGATTTTTCAGGCAAAAGTGAAATAGAGAGGACAACCCTCACTCAGCCAATCAGCTTTCCGCCAGAGACAGAGAGAGAGAGACCAGAGAGGGACTAATGAGAGCGACTACAGAGAGAGACCAGAGAGCCAGAGACTAGAGAGAGCCTAGAGAGAGAGAGACCAGAAAGAGAGAATAGAGAGCAAGAGACCAGAGTGAGTGACCAGAGTGAGTGACTAGAAAGAGACTAGAGAGAGAGAGAACAGAGAGCAAGGGACCAGAGAGAGACCAGAAAGGGAGATACTAGAAAGAGTGACCAGAGAGACTTGAGAGAGTGACTAGAGAGAGAGACGAGACTTGAGACAGACCAGAGAGAGTTCAGAGAGAGGGAGAGAGAGACTTTTTCAGGCAAAAGTGAAATAGAGAGGACCACCCTTGCCTTGCTTCTGTCAGTGTGTGCGAGTAATCACATGTGAATCTTCTTTGAGTGTGCTGAAAAACGCTGAATAAAACCAATGCATTACTATTATTATTGTAATTATGATTATTGTTTTTATTATTAAAATAAGTTTAGAATGCTTAAACGTTTATTGTATTGAAATGTATGGAATTGAAAGCCCCCGTATGTATCGACCGGCTCTGAGGGATACCCAGAACCCACTACAGAACCCTTATTCATGAATCCTTTTAAGTTGGTACCTGATTGATAAAAGTAGTGAAAGTGCTGATTCAGGACAAAAGTCATATCTCACCGTTTCCTCTGGACGCTCTTCCTCTCCCTGTGGCCTCTGTATCGAGCTTGAATCTTTGTGGCAGCTTTGTTCTTCTCCTCCACCAGCTCTTTGTATTTCCTTCTGGCGAGATAGCTCCGACAAACTGCGAGCGGATGATAACGGGATAAGAAACAACACAGAGCCTGGCGGTCGGTACATTCTGAGTATCTGAGTGTTCTCACCGGCCTGGAACTGCGTGACGAAGGCCTCCAACTTGGATTTGCTTTTATCGTCGGCCACTTTCTTTCGGACTTGGTGACCTCTGTAAGCTGCGAGGAGAGAAAGTGTGTTAGTGCTTCAGGATCTGAGAGCTGCAAAAGGAAATGATGGAACTAAACTGTTGTAGCTAGAACTGGATTTTATTACACGGTTCTTAAAGTTAGGTACCCCAGCTTTAAAAGAGACAGAGAATGTTGTTTGCTGTGAGTACATTCACTCAGATTTTAAAGTACTTGTGGGTTAGCAGTATTTTAGTAATGTAATATTTACTATGACTAAAAGAGGTAGTAGACCAGAGAGAGGCCAGAGAGAGGCCAGAGAGAGACCAGAGAGAGACCAGAGAAAGACCAGAGAGAGAGACCAGAGAGAGACCAGAGAGTGAGACCAGAGAGAGACCAGAGAGAGACCAGAGAGAGAGAAGAGAGAGACCAGAGAGAGACCAGAGAGAGAGACCAGAGAGAGAGACCAGAGAGAGAGAGAGAGACCAGAGAGAGAGACCAGAGAGAGAGACCAGAGAGAGACCAGAGAGAGACCAGAGAGAGAGACCAGAGAGAGAGACCAGAGAGAGAGACCAGAGAGAGAGAGAGAGACCAGAAAGAGAGACCAGAGAGAGACCAGAGAGAGACCAGAGAGAGACCAGAGAGAGACCAGAGAGTGAGACCAGAGAGAGAAGAGAGAGAAGAGAGAGACCAGAGAGAGAGACCAGAGAGAGACCAGAGAGAGACCAGAGAGAGACCAGAGAGAGAAGAGAGAGAAGAGATAGACCAGAGAGAGAGACCAGAGAGAGACCAGAGAGAGAGACCAGAGAGAGACCAGAGAGAGACCAGAGAGAGACCAGAGAGAGACCAGAGAGAGAGACCAGAGAGAGACCAGAGAGAGAGACCAGAGAGAGACCAGAGAGAGAGACCGGAGAGACCAGAGAGAGACCAGAGAGTGAGGCCAGACAGAGACCAGAGAGAGAGACCAGAGAGAGAGAGACTAGAGAGATAGACCCGAGAGAGAGAAACAGAAAGAGAGACTAGAAACAGAGACCTAAGAGAGAAAGAGAGCCTGGAGAGAGAGACCAGAGAGAGATAGACCAGAGAGAGAGAACAGAGAGAAACAAGACTTGTATTTGTTTTTATCGTCAGCCACTTTCTCTCAGATGTGGCTTCTGTAAACTGTCTCCAGAGTGTTTACGGCAGTGTGCTGTGATGGTCCAGAGGGAACAGACCTGACTGAAGGACCAGAGCGCTGTTTTCTCTCTCCTTCAACGTGCGACGGTAGCGTTTGGCGATCATCCAGCCACGGACACAGGCCTGGAGCAGGACCACGCGGCGGGTGGTCTGCTGCACCATCAAGTTCAGCTGCTCCACATGGTAATACTTCAGGAACACCTTACAATCAGGAAAATACGTGTTTTTGGTTATAATATGGCTTTGATGTCCAACCGGGAGTCTGATCGCACAAAATAACTTCGGCTTCAGACCTTGTGCTGTTCTCGGGTCAAAATGTCATAGAAAAATAGGATAGCACAAGCGATTTGAGTTATTAATGTTTTACGAATGGATCGGGGGAAGACTAAAAGGGTCTATTTTATTGCGTGGAGGAATTTAGGACTGTGTCTGTGAAGTAATAGCCTGAGAGTAAGAATTACAGAGGTGGCTTTGGTGCTATTGCTAAGCCGTCTACTCCCGATGTGACGCAGAAAAATAGTCCAACTGCACTTTATAGAAGTATATTTGGTTTTGAATGTAAAGGCAGTCAACAATCAGGAACATTATACTTTGAATTATTATCAAAGCTGGAGTATTAACTTTGAAACCACAATGTGAAATAAGTTCCTCGCTCTCAAAAGTGTTTGGTTCTTTCCAATTTTCACAAGAATGTATTTTTGGCCTCAGTCGGGACAAAAACTAGGTACTCCAGCTTTCAAGCAAATACAAAAAACTGTGCATGGTGCGATGGAACGACTGGTACCTTTGTCTTTCCCATGGCCCAGTTCTCCAGCTTGGCTTTCTCCAAAATGGCTGCACAAGTTTCCGGTGTCGCGGCCGGCTCCTCGTTCGCATTAAACGCCAGAATAAAATATCTACAAACAGACGCATATTTAAATGTAAATTGTACATTATGTCTTCTTCATGTTTAAGGCTCAGAAGGTTCTTTTAGTAAGACAAAGAGCGAGAAGAGCCGAGTTCTGCTTGATAAACGGAGAGGTGATCAATATCAGGAAGCACGGACCATCAACAGAGACGAAGGGGCCTACACCTTGGCTCACACTTGGGACTCACTTCTCCAGAGACCACAGGGTAGTGGGGGTGTGGTCAGTCTGCAGGGGGTGTGGCCAGTCTGCAGGGGGTGTGGTCAGTCTGCAGGGGGTGTGGTCAGTCTGCAGGGGAAGTGGTCAGTCTGCAGGGGGTGTGGTCAGTCTGCAGGGGGTGTGGTCAGTCTGCAGGGGGTATGGCCAGTCTGCAGGGGGTGTGGTCAGTCTGCAGGGGAAGTGGTCAGTCTGCAGGGGGTGTGGTCAGTCTGCAGGGGGTGTGGTCAGTCTGCAGGGGGTATGGCCAGTCTGCAGGGGGTGTGGTCAGTCTGCAGGGGAAGTGGTCAGTCTGCAGGGGGTGTGGTCAGTCTGCAGGGGAAGTGGTCAGTCTGCAGGGGAAGTGGTCAGTCTGCAGGGGGTATGGCCAGTCTGCAGGGGGTGTGGTCAGTCTGCAGGGGGTGTGGTCAGTCTGCAGGGGGTGTGGTCAGTCTGCAGGGGGTATGGCCAGTCTGCAGGGGGTGTGGTCAGTCTGCAGGGGAAGTGGTCAGTCTGCAGGGGGTGTGGTCAGTCTGCAGGGGAAGTGGTCAGTCTGCAGGGGAAGTGGTCAGTCTGCAGGGGGTATGGCCAGTCTGCAGGGGGTGTGGTCAGTCTGCAGGGGAAGTGGTCAGTCTGCAGGGGGTGTGGTCAGTCTGCAGGGGAAGTGGTCAGTCTGCAGGGGGTGTGGTCAGTCTGCAGGGGGTGTGGTCAGTCTGCAGGGGGTGTGGTCAGTCTGCAGGGGGTGTGGCCAGTCTGCAGGGGGTGTGGCCAGTCTGCAGGGGGTGTGGTCAGTCTGGCTGTTGTTACCAGCGGTAACAGCAGCCTGTAACGACGCGTCACACCATCTCTGTCTCCTCTGACGAAGGCGGATGTCTCTCCCAACTATGTGATAGTTAAGCAAAACTAGCTTCTCTACTGCTGGGGTCTAAAACCTTTTTCAATCAGAGAGCTACTTATATACAACAGAAAAGGCAGAGAGCTACTCTTTTTGCAGTCATAATAAAAATGTATGTAATAATTATGACTAGAGAAAACACATATAAAACATAACATAATACTGTATAACCCTATTTATACTTGCAATACAGACGCAATGAATCAAAATGTATTCAGCCAAGATTGTGTGTTAAATTCTTTGGGGAGCTACCTGAAAGGAGCTGGCGAGCTACTGTTAGCTCCCGAGCCACAAGTTGGAGACCCCTGCTTTAGTGTCTTATCTTAAAATAACCTTCTAAGCTTTAAATGCAAATTCAGCCCAATTCTACCCAACTTCACACATATTCTCCACACGACTGTCGGACTGACCTCTTGATAAAATTGGCGAAGAGGATGCGGTGGGAGTAGCCTTGGCGCCGGATCTTGGCCGTCTCCAGGACCCCCGTGTAGCGCAGCTGGAGGAGCACCTTCTCCCTGTCGAAGTTGTTCGCCTGCCGGTCGTTATTGGGCTTGATGCAGCGCACAAAATGAGGCTGTCCCGCCACCATCTTAGACAACAGGTCCATCAGGGAGTACTGGGGACGACATCGTTAGCCGAGAGATTAGAACGAGCGCTAATTGAAAAGCAAAGTAATTGGTTTGAAAGTGTTACTCTGAAGTAGGAGGCCACGGTCTGCGTTCTCATGTTGGTGGTTTCTCGCGGATGGTAAGGCGTGTCTCCGTCAGACTGAAGACAAAACATAACAATTCAAATATAATGAATAATATGTCAAATACAGCATAAAATATAAAGTTAAAGCTGGGGTACCTCACTTTTCTTTTGTGGATAATACACATTAAATGTCCAAACAGGAAGAGAGTTGTAAACGTAAAATATTGTGAACAAATTGGACCAAAATATACCGTCTCATTAAAAATCATTTGCATATTTGTAAAAGAAGAGCCTTGGTAGTCACTATTGGATGCTTTGGGCAGAGCTGGTCCTTTAATTTTCACTTTTCCGTCTGAAACAGTTGATTTAAGAACGTAACAGCGGTCTAAAAAAACCTTTTCTTTTCTTTTACATATTTCTGCAGTTTTGAAGTTAGGTCCCCCAGCTTTACTAGAGCTATGGATTATGTTTGTTATGAGTACATTCACTCAGAATATAAAGTAATTATTGGGTTATCAGTCTTTTAGTAATGTGCATTTTACTGTTACTAAAAGAGGCAGTACAGTGGGCTCTCGTTTATAAGCGTCAGAAATCAGAGGGAGAGACAAGAGAGAGAGAGACTGGAGAGAGAGACATGAGAGAGACTAGAGAGAGAGATAAGAGAGAGTGACCAGAAAGAGACCAGAGAGAGACTAGAGAGAGAGACAAAGGATAGAGATCAGAAAGAGACCAGAGAGGGACCAGAGAGAGACTATAGAGACAGACACCAGAGAGAGACCAGAAAGAGACCAGAGAGAGAGACCAGAGAGAGACCAGAGAGTGACCAGAAAGAGACAAGAGAGAGAGACCAGAGGCAGACCAGAAAGAGAGTTACTGGAGAGAGAGACAAAAGAGAGACTAGAGAGAGATAAAAGAGAGACAAGAGAGAAATATCAGAGAGAGACCAGAAAAAGAGAGAAAGTGAAAGATCAGAGAAAGAGACCCAAAATAGACCAGAGAAACTGGAGAGAGAGAGCAGAGATAGAAAGATAGAGAGGGACCGGAGAAAGACCAGAGAGAGACCAGAGAGAGAGAGGATATGATATTGTGTAATGATGGAGTAAAAACGACAAGGACGTTGTAAAAAGTTAAATTCTGAAAGGAAAGCTGCAGCGAGGGACCACTGTACTTTACTTTCACTTTGATTTCACAAATATACACGGGGTCGACAAAAGAATGAAAAGCAGGAGAATTACAAACTCAGCAGGAGTCACACAAACAAACCATCAAACACAAAACTGGGAGAAAATGCTATGTCTAAAAAAAATCAAGCAATTTCTAAAAACAACAGATTGTTTTTAGAAGCGCACAGTCACCGTTTGCATGTGCAATAAGTCGTCACATGGTAGATCAAGCAAGCTTTTACTGTCAGGGCAGGACTCTAACCCCAGAGAAGGAGACTGAAAACACACACGACATCTTTCAGAAGACTGTATATATAATAATAATAATAATAATAATAATAATGCACCGGTTTTATATAGTGCTTTTTTGGACGCTTTACATGTCATTTTTCATTCACTCCGAACACACTGGTGATAAACTACTGTAGCCATAGCTGCCCTGGGGCACGCTGAGAGAAGCGAGGCAACCAGTCTGTGCCATCGGCCCCTCCCACCACCAACACAGTGTGAAATTTCAGTGTTGCACCACAGGTTACAGAACAGTAGGAATGAAGAGCCGACAGCAGAAGGTTCAGTAAGTGAATATTAAGTATCGCAAAACTCTATACCAAAAAAGTAATACAGTTTTTCTCAGTTGCTTTGGTGCATTTCTCACATCAGACTTAAACTTCTCAAAACTATTAGTTCAACCTCCACAACATTGGGTCATTGGTGCACATCATCACGGCAGTTTCTCATTCCTCTGAACACATTTCAAATGCTTTCGTTCATGTATCAATAACTTTCAAACAATTCTCGGCGTTTTTTTAACATTATCATTTGCTTCTGTCCTGTCAGTCAGAATGAAACATACTTATGACTTCTGAATAGTCTTTCACTATAAAACGAACTGTTCTCATTTCATCGCTTTGGTCATCACATACAAAATTGTTGAACTAGTTCTCAAAATCATAACTGTCAAGCTAATTTCATACATTCCTTTATCTTTTTTTTTCCTGTAAATATTTCCTAAATTGAACAATTTATCTCAGGTGAACTTCAGCTTCACTCTGAGGTGTGCTTTATTGTTTATTTTTGTCACAGTTCTACCATAATGATATTTCTGTATGTTTGTTCAATGTACAGTATATACATGTATGTGTCTGCACTTCTACAGCATTGTGCAACAAAAATACAAAGAGCATATGCAGTACACATACATACATACATACATACATATACATACAGTACATACATACATAGATATACACATACATACAGTACATACATACATACATACATACATACAGTACATACATAGATACATACATACATACAGTACATACATATATAGATATACACATACATACATACATACATACATATACATACAGTACATACATACATAGATATACACATACATACATACATACATACAGTACATAGATACACACATACATACATACATACATATACATACAGTACATACATACATACATACATACATACATACATACACACATACATACATACATATACATACAGTACATACATACATACACACATACATACATACAGTCCATACATACAGTAGATACACACATACATACATACAGTACATACATAGATACACACATACATACATACATACAGTACATACATACATATATAGATACACACATACATACATACATACAGTACATACATACATACAGTAGATACACACACACACACATACATACATATATGTCAGTTACGTCTCTAAATACAGTCT